GCCAAACTTGTGTGTGCATACCTACACTATAGATAGATATATACATATCTACCTATATATCTATGAAAGTCCAGCATCCAGCAAGCTGAGATGCTATAAGAGCCCAAACGAAATGAAATTAAGATTAATGCATTCCCTTTTCATTTTTCTATTATTATTATAATATTTAATTTGGTATGGGAAGCTAAAGGTTCTCATTTTCTCTATATTATGTACCGGTAACAAAATTCGCAGGGACTATTCAGTCAGAAAATTGTCTGAATGTACGCTGATCCAATTGTTTGTCTCTTTAATTTTTGGTTTTTAGTTTTAAAACCAAGGATACAAGGATTCACAATGACAAAGAAAAAAATTATTGGTGTAACTGAGTTACAGTTTATCTCAAAATTTCTGCATAGATTTTCCTGTGTGCTGAGAAAGCATTAGCGTGCAGTTTAGAGGGAACTTTGCCGCCAGCAGATGGCGATAGCTAACGGTAATTACATCTGTTGGTCACCTCAAGAAAAATAAAACATTTTCTGGTTAAAAAAGGACTAAGTAAACACCGACTGGACAGACCCTTTATTAATGTGTCATTTCAAAATGATTATATGGTTTTGGTGGGGGATTTTAGACAGTACTAGGCCTCTTTAATAATATTTGTAGCTATAACGCAACTGTGGGTATCTTTAAAAGACATTAAATTCTAAAGTCAACTTTTTCATCCTGGGAAGAATCATAATAAAATCCTTTGGAATATTGATTTGAATAGTGTGAGTATTATTCTGAGAGTCAAAACTCTTTTTCTAACTACAACAAACTGATTTACAAAAACCTCTTTTGGTGTGCCGTCTATGTATTAAATGATAAATGGAGTTTCCCACCTTTATGACCTGTGTGAGTGTTTGGGAGGACGTCTCAGCCAGCAGAGCCAGGCTGAGGCCGCGGTGCAGCTCTCTGATGGCAGCCGCCAGCAGGAAGGAGAAAGGGGTGTATGAGGTACGTGGTGACGCCGTATCTTCAGCCGCAGCCAGGAAATGCCGGGACCCATCCAATATGGCGGACAGCACCTGAAGGGCGCACAATCGTACCTAGAACAAGAAAGAAAACAAAGACAATTACAGGGATTCAACACCAAGTGTGATGCACCAGTGAAAACAGGATTGAATGTTAGTGACCGCCTGTACCTTTGGTGAGGAATCCTTTAGTATAATAGTGAGGAGAGTTAGAGATGGAGGTCCACCAGCAGGAGAGTCGGGGATGAAGGAGGACCAGTATCCATACAGGCTCCTCTTCTCAACAGATTTCACCACTGCTAGCATACAGTGCAGCGCTAACTGACGAACACGGCACTGGTAAACTCTAAAATGGCAAAGTGGGAGAGTCCAACATATTTAAAGAATAAAAAATGTTGAATGAGTTTATGTCAGAAAGCAAATAAAGAGATGAATGGATAGAGGAAAAGTGGATAAAAGGAGGAATGGATGGACAGATGGA